TTTCCCAAGTGGGGCAACTTGGTAAACCTTCAGGCTCTTACAGAGATGACTTTCTTGTAAATTTGCGCGGGGTGAGTGCATTCGCTGTACGGGTACTCGAAGGTCACCATTTCCAAAATGCACATGCCAAAAGAGTAGATGTCGACTAACTCGTTATATTCCTCTTCATACACCTCAGGGGCCATGAATTCGGGTGTTCCTGAAAATAATTGAGAAACATCTAATATACGGATACAATTGGGATACAGTGAGAAAGCACTGAGTTTCTCGTGAAGAATTTCGAGCTCAATGTCGAGATAGTTTATAATGCACATAACAAGGCATTTTATATGTTCCTAAAGTAAGTTTCTACACTGCTTAAGTGGAATTTCAAGAGAATACAAGGATTTAGTTTGGTTTCCTGATTAGGCTTGCAGTTTTTTCTTTCTACAGACAAAACAAGTACTTCAGATATTATTGGCCAAGCACTTGCTTCAATTCGTTCAACCTTTAGATTCTTTTTTTTCAGCTCTTGCTATAGTAAATCACTTCTTTCCACTAGCTTAAGTATTTTCAGCTGTAGCTTTATCATGCATAACTAGGGAATCAAGTGTTTGTCAAAGTAGTTTCGCCATAATTTATACTTTTATAGTATTTTATGCATTATGCAAAGTAGTTTCTCCATAATTTATACTTTTATAGTATTTTATAAATTATTCGCGGAGCATATTCTTGAATTTCTTCAAGTTGTAATTTCTCTTATTATCTTTTGCCATAACAACACTTCTACCACAAACAGAATTTCCCTAAATTTTTTTATCAGAATCATATGCTTAACACTAACCTACACAACGAGCGGCATGGGATTTCCTTAAAATTGCAGCAAGGCCAAGATCACCGATTTTAACTTCGCCTTGATTTCCATTTATGAAAATGTTGTCACACTTGAGGTCTCTATGAATGACAGGAGGATCATGACTGTGAAGATAAAGGAGGCCTTGCAAAATTTGCCTGCACCAGTGTTTGATTGCTCTAATGTTGATCCTCTTATGTTTCAGCCTATACCTTTTTTTTTTCACCCATCAGAATCAGATCAAGCATTAAGACATGAGGTTAACACATGAATTAGATAACATCAATCACACAAAATACTGAATCTATAGATATCCAAGAATATCAAAGGGGGCTTTTGCAAGCTCTGAAAAGGGAAAGATAAAAATAAAGTGATTTGCAAACTTTTTGGGGGCTAAAAGCTGAGAATCACTGTTTTTGCTTTTTATTCTTCTTTTCAAGAATTTGCAAGGCTTCCAGAGAAAAAGTTGAGAGGAATTATTAGCACTTACTGTCTGAGAGTACCAGAAGTGAACATTTCTGTTACAAAATTGATGTTCCTATTTGCAGTGTCAACCCAAGAAGTGTAGAATTTCATAATATTGCTGTGTTTTAAAGTCTTGAGCAGATGAATCTCACAGTAAAGCCTTTCAAGATCTTCTGGGCTCTGTAAAAAGTCGTAGAGCTTTACCTGATTCCAAGCTACTTCTATCCCTTCATATTCATCAAAAGCTCTGTAACTGCAAAAATTTAATAGTTGAGTTGATAAATCAACCAAAGCCCAGAAAAGCAAAATGTTAAATGGCAAAAATGATTAAGAAACTGTAAAGATCAAATCTTTTTGGGAAATACATACACAATCTTTGAAGCCCCTTTTCCAAGAATCTCATTGTACTGCAACCAACCAAAAACAAAATCCAGAATGAAAATCAATCCATGAAATATACCTAGTACAGCAGCAAAAAATTAAAACGAAAAATGAAAATCAACATTTTGGGTACAAATTATCACCCTTCCATATCTTCCAGTAGGATCAACTTCTACAAACTCAGATTCCTCTGAATCAACAGCAATAGCACCATTCATTTTTGCTTGAGATTCAAATTTCTCAGTCTTGAACTTTTTTATGCTTTTTATTACCAGAAAGTGGGGAAGAGAAAAAAGATGATGAGCCCACTAATTCAAAAATAAGTAGAAGAATAAATTACAATACCAAAACTAGTCTCAGAATATCTCAGGGAAAAATAAAGAAAGCAACCACAACAAGCATGATTTTTGTGGAAGAAGATGCCAAGGCCGGTCCATGTAAAGAACAGAGTTTTTTTCTTTTTTNAAAAGCTTATAGACAAATGTGCCCCTCCACCACCTAATACGGACAAAACACCACTCATCTTTTCTTTTTTATTTTTTTGGCTTTATTATTTATTTCTTAATTAACTGATTTATACCTCATCGTCCCGAGCTGTAAAAAGGAAGATAGAAAAAACTCACACAAGACACGCATTGATTAACTCAAAATGTGGCACTTTGTTGCTGTAATGTGTGTGTACTTGAGTACCACTAACGTGTGCCCCTGCACACCTTGCTAGGTGTGTCAGGGCAATTATGCACGCGCCTAATCATTTTCAAAAACCAAAAAAATGAGAAAGTGTAATACACATGCCACTTTTTTTTTTAATTGAAAATGAGACATATTAGATATATTAAAATATCATTAATGATTTATATTAAAATAAAAAAATAAATATACCAAAATTCATAAATTTTCATTGTCTATAAATAGAGACCACATTTGATAGGTTTTTTAACATAATTAATTTTTTTTCGTAATCAATTTATTATACTGACATAGGATGAACATATTACATAATAAGATGAATATGTTATCAAATAAGATGAACATGTTACGGGCATGTTCATCTTATGTTATAACATGTTCATCTCATTTTGTAACATATTCATCTTATTTTATAACATGTTCATCTTATTGTGTAAATATGTAACATGTTCATCTTATTCTATAACATGTTCATCTTACTATGTAACATGTTTATCTTATTCTATAACATATTCATCTCATTTTGTAACATATTCATCTTATTTTATAACATGTTCATCTTATTCTATAACATGTTCATTTTCATCTTACTATGTAACATGTTCATCTTATTCTATAACATCTTACTATGTAACATGTTCATCTTATTCTATAACATGTTCATCTTACTAAGTAACATGTTCATCTTATTATTGATTTAGATCTGCATCTTCATCTTCCAACAAAATAAATTAATTGTGAAAAGTGATAAATTAATTGTATTCTAAAAATTATCAAATGTGGTCTCTATTTGTAGAGAATGAAAAATTATGAATTGTGGTATTTTTATTTTTATTTTTTAATATAAAATATGAATGATAATTTAATTTATATAATATGATATATAAAATTTATTATCCAATAGAAATGTGACAATGTCCCATTTAAAAGAAAAAAACTTACTTCACGCATTTTTTTGAGGGAGTGTATTTTACAAAGGCCTTTAAGTATATTTTGTACTTCATATTTGTGAAGTTTAGTTTTTGTCCAGATAGGAAGAGGGACCGACCAAGTATTTGTTTAATGATTTCTTTTTTATTAGTGTTTGTTCCTTTTAAATAAAAAATAATAATTATGTACGATAGGATTGTGTAATGTGGATTGTGGGCATCTTGCAACGTAACTAGTGGCGAGTGGGTGTCAAAATCGGGCACAAATTATCACATCTCCAATAATAAATCTCTTTATTTATTTGTAATATGACATTGTTATTTTTCTCACTTACTCTATTTTTTCATCATACTTCTATATATTAAATAATAATTTACTATGAAACTGTATTTATTAAAATTGAGATATTTATTATTTTTATTACTTTTTGGAATTATGTATTGTTATTGTTATTATTATGATGTTTAGTAAGTATTTTATATATACTTATATAATTCCAAATAAAGAAAATAATAAAAAATAATTTTTATTGCACATAAATCTTTCTACAATATAAAACATAAATTTATCAAAATACTATTCTTAACAATTAGGTTCATTCCAAATATGTTAAACAAGGTCGTGTCTAAGTTGATGATGCACTTTCTAACTTTACATGTGGAATTTGTAACTATAACATTTAATTAATATTAAAGAATTTATATTTAATAAAAAGATTATGGATCATTGGGACTTCTAGAATACATAATATTGTCATCAATATATTAAATATTATTTAATGACTAAGACCATGTTTATCTGTGACACAACCATTGCGTCACCAACCAAAATAAATAAATAATAAAAAAAAATACATGACCCAGGTCACAATGTGACCCTAGATCACAACCGATTGCTGAGAGAGGAATGAGACACTTGTCCAATTCTTATTGGGAAAGTGTATTTTTTAATTAATATAAAAATTAATTTATATTTTTGGGGGTTAATTTATATTAAAATAAAAATTACCAAAATTTGTATTTTTTTATTTTCTATAAATAGAGACCACATTTGATATGTTTTGGAACACAAATGCAATTTTCTATTTGGTGATAGTAATTGGTGTGTGATTTTATTTTAAGATATTCCAATTTTTGTAATTTTACTTTTTAAGTCAGGTTGTAAATTTGTAATTATATGGTAAAATATAATCTTTTGAAATCATAAGGACCTTAATTATAATTTTCTTAGTTAATTTATCACAACTAAACCAATAACATAAGTCAATTGTAGATAATACTTAATAAATAAATAAATAAAAATAAATAGTTTAGGTTGGATTGGGTTGGCGATAAATAAAAATTGGGTTGTAAGATTGAGTTGTATAAGTGGAGGGGAGAGAAATAATTTTTAATTGTAATAATGGGTTGGGTTAGGTTGTGGATAAATATTCTAAGAGTCGAGCGTGTAAAAAAAGAAGGCAGAGTGGCGTAAAGAACGACTTCCAGGCAGCGCCAAAATTAGACGCTAGAATGGGGAAATTGCAGAAATGCACCACAATTTTACTACACAAAGGAAATTGTAGAAATTAAGTAAATACAAGAAAATTGCGCACAATAACCCATAAAAAATAGTGCATAAAAAGTACTACTATCAATAATCTTATGTGGTGATTTAGCAAGCAGTTAAGCATATGTGCAATATAATCTTAGAGCATCTCCAATGGTGGAATTGAATTATAGTCTATATGACAATTAAATAGATGACCTTTTGTCCACGTGGACGGAATAGACTGTCATGTTCATAGGTAACTCTCCAATGGTCTATAGGCACACAATGGCATGCGTACATACTTGGTCGGGAATAGAGTGTCATGTTCATAAGTAACTCTTCAATGGTTTATACAGTATACACGGTAAACGTATGTAAACGTGTTTTTTTTTTTCTTTTGTTGTTCCATAAAATGGCAAAAAACTTGCAAGGAATATGTCGAACAAAACTAACATGAAATCACAAAAATTTTTGGTAAATGTCTATACACGATAAATGTTGCCTTTTTTATTTTGTTGTTCTTAAAAAAAAAAAGGCAAAAAACTTGCAGGGAAAATGCCGAACAAACACTGAACCAACATGAAATCCTAATATTTTCAACCATATATATTGCGCACCTTTGTCGAGAGCGAACATAAACGAAGTACTATAAATTATTTTTTGTACTGAACCATAGTTTTGCGGTATTTATTTTTTAATGAGCGTCTTCAAAACCACCCATAACACCCAACTAATATCCATCAGTTATTTTTGTATAAGGTATTTTTGTATCATGTATCGTGCGAAGAGCAAATTGAGAAAAAAATGACTCATCAAGTCTAGAAGGGCTTTCGCATGTAGAAAGACTTCTACATTTTCTTGTGTCTCTCTCATGCCACATCATCACATGTAGAAGTAAAAAAAGTCACCGTTGAAGAAGTTTTTTGTCTCAATGCCTCTACAATTTTACAATTGGCACACCATTTGAGATGCTCTTATGTGGTGATTTAGCAGGCAGTTAAGCATATGTGCCGTTCTAACACCAGAAATAAATTTGTGTTAGATTTGTTTTATTATATATCTATATACATAATAAGATTAACCATTTACTAAAAATAGTAGTTAAAAATTTTGGGAGCATTTAATGCAAACATTTTTTGGGAAACTTTTTAAATATATGCATTAATTGCTTATATGTACACGTTTTCACATAAGATCAAATCAGATATGATAAAAAAATATTATTTTCTTAAATAATTTTATTAATATCTGCAATAATTTCGTTGATATTGATTATAATAAATTATAATATTGATTTTCTGTGATTCATGTTGATAATATTTTGGTCAAGATAATTATTACAACGTATTTTAAGTTCTAACCATATTATTAATTTTTTTCACAAATATTCACTTTTTATCCAAAAATATTTATAGAAAATCGTAACAGCTTAGGTAGATTTTTTTCTACCAATTAATCTTTACTAATATAATTTTTTCTTAAGCTTTATTTTCTTATATATAAAAAGTAAATTATTTTTCAAATTAATATAATTTACCATTTAAGATATATAATGACCAGGCACATTAAATAGTATACTACTGGTCAGAAATTAAAATTGAAATAAATTAATTGGTCTTTAGAATTTATTTGTATATTATTAGCAACCATGAGTTTCTTTTTTATCATTTTTTTTATTTATTTAAATAATGAAATTCTTGTAAAATATATTTTTATTGCACAGTATGCTAAACAAACTATAAATCCTTATAATGCAAATTAGAAAAAACTTGATTATAGAAAGGATTGAGTTTTTGACATTTGCTAAATCAAAGTTGTTTAATTAGTATACAAAACTAAATTCTAAAAAAACATTTGTTTATATTTTGTAAAATATTTACACACTATTTAATTTTAAATTATGTACATATTTTTCATTGATTACATAAATATATAATGCTAACGTGCATTAAATATTTTTCATTACATAAAATAAAAAGAAAAAGAAGACGTACAACTTCTATAACTTTTATAAGGCTATGTTTGGTAGACAAATAAGTTGGTTTATACTTATTTCTTTAGCTTATAAGCTCCATGTATTCAAATAAGTTCCGTTTGGTGGGACGAGCTTTTTTAAAAAGCTCGAGATTATTTGATAAGCTTATTTAGGTAGCTTTTCAAATAAGCTCGTTGAAATTATTATTTCAGCTAGTTTATCAGCTAATTTACCAAACACTTTTATCATATAAACTAGCTTTTCAGCTATTAGTCATAAGCTATAAACTATAAGCTCAAAAATTAATGATAAACTATAAGCTAGCTTATCAGTTAGTTT